TCCTGTTGAAGAGAAACAAGCAGGGAGCAATTTGCTTGGAAGTATTTCGTGCGCTTAAAACTTTTGTTGGATTTGCCTCATATTTGAACACCCATTTAGTCGAATGCTGTTTACTTTTGATCCAAGACTCATCACCGGTTTCAATGTCGTAGACGTGTTTCGAAGCACTGCCGAATTTTGTTTTACATTTCTCTCGGCCAATCTAGACGGGTCTTTGCTTGAATGACTGACAAATTTTGTGGAAATCCACGTGAACAATTTCTTTTACACTCAAATGTTCAAACAATATTGAATGTATGCTGGTCCTAGTTGTCTCAATCTCACGATTAGTTTCCGCATACAACGACTGATTTTGGACGCTCTTCACGAAATTCATCTTGAATTGAACTGATACCTCAATTGAATTCACCATACCATCGATAAGTACTGGCTCTTGATGGATGAAGTCAACATCTGATGAGTCGGCTCTAGCAGTCTTCGAGAGAAGAGTTTTGCGAACGATTTATGGTCCTTTGCGCATTGGCAACGGTGAATATCGTAGACGATGGAACAATGAGCTCGCTGATATTGACATAGTTCAGCGACTACGCTGGCTAGGTCATGTCGTCCGAATGGATGAAAGCACTCCAGCATTGAGAGTCTTCGATGCAGTACCCGCTGGTGGAAGCAGAGGAAGAGCAAGACCTCCACTCCGTGGGAAGGATCAGGTGGAAAGTGACCTGCCTTCACCTGATATTTCCAAATGGCGACAGGTAGTGAAAAGAAGAGAGGAATGGCGCGCTAAGATTGATTCGGCCAATAAAGCCAATAAAGTAGAAAAAGAAGTAGAAGAAGATGGTGCTTCGTCACCAAAAATTTAATTGAGTTCAACAAATGCACTCTTTCTGAGTTAATCCACGACAAAAATAGTAAGAAATAACCCATGTATAAATGGCAATCCTTAGTTCTATGTAAACGTTTTTTAAATTATCACAGTTTACTCTCAGCTGTCAGATTTTTTTAACCAAACCTTACCTTAGCGATGCCGATTTATTTCGAACTCGACCGCATCGATAATTGTATTATATAAAATTTTTACTTGAATTAATAATGCAAAAGCGAATAATTGAACGAATAAGGCATATGCACACGTACATACGTACCTAAGTGTGTACACTTTACAGACAATTGCTCTACTCGTAAAATTAGTGAAAGCTAATCAAATGTGCCAATTAGCGATTTTGTAATGATGCTAATTATAGCAGCATTGCAAGCTGCTGACAACTACATATCTATGTACATACCTATATATATGTATATATACGAAAGCTAAATGCAACCACGGGCAACATACTCGTATTGTACATATATTTTTATATGTAAATCTAATTCAGCAGAAATGTAATCGTGAGCTTAATTTAATTTTAGAAATTGGAAGAAAGACATTTCTCACGAAATGAAGCATGGGAGTGCCATTTCAAATGAATTTTCATTTATCGACATTAATGATATTGCTTTTGCAGAGTGCACACACACATATATGTATATATATATATATTAATGTGTTCGCAGAGTAACTATTTTTTAATTCGATTTATTTATTTTTTTTCATGCATAAAAGTAAGAAAACTTATTTTCATTCAATAACTGAAATGTGTTGTATTTGTAGGCCACAATTCAAGTTTAAACAATACTAATACAGGCCTATACTGTCGAAGTAATAAAATTTACTTTGGCATTAAAATTTACCATTCAGTGAATTTTGTTACTTTTTCGTATTCTGAGTTCATTGTCACCATGTAAATTTTTTTTACCAGCGAAATGGGAGGTAACAAAAAAATCTGCTGTTTGATTTCCTGCAAAATTGGTAGTCATATTTTTTTAGGCCTGGAACACATTGAAGAGGAAGAAAAAATACAAAAAAGTGCATGTCAAGAAGTTTTCAAGAAAAAAATTGCTCTTTAATTTGGAAGATAGCGTTTTCATTGAGCTTTTCTTTTTGTCGTCCAGGCATATTTTCCATAATTAGGTTCAAATATTTATGATTTAATAAACAAACTACTAAAACTTTTTATTTTTTTTTTTGTGCACCGTTTTTCATTTCGATGTGAATATATTTCTTTTTACTTTATCAACTGGCAAATGTAATTTGACATGGACGAAAAAATAGTGCTGCCAAAGTTTTGTCAAAGAATGTAACCTGTGTGCTAGATTACCTAATTCATTTTTGGTTGTTAAAAAAAAGTAAAAAATTTACTTTACTGGTAACAGTGAGAATAGGCCTCTAAGGGCTAAGAACACTGCTAAAGTTGAAGTCAGAACAAGCGCTAAACTTAGATAGACGAGGCTAAGAGCATCCAGCATCCAGCTTCCAGAATATTCTAACACACTACCTAATCGACCATATTGATGTTGAAAGCATTTCACTTCCGCTCTTATTATTCCCGACTAGAGTATTTTGAAAAATATGAACGGCTAAGCGTTTTCCTTTTATAGCCGCACTACTGCCCCTTAAGATTTGCTGTAGTTCAGAATAAAAAAATCAGAAAAGAAATTCTTTCTACCTTACACTCCTTGCATGATTCCCTATTCCCAATTTACTCAACCCAACGTTTTGATTCTTTATTTAGCGTAAGGTCTGCACATGAAGAGATAATACAAAATTTTAAGACTTTACAGCTAATTTAACCGAATAGAACCGAACTGTACTGACTGACTGTGAAAGAGGGTTACACTCTCTGCACCATAAGTTGTATGCTCTCCGAGTAAAAGACAAAGCTGAAACGATACATATATGCAGACAAAAAAGGCAAAGTTCGAAATGTCTCTTACAGCATCTTACGGAAGATTTCAAGACCAGAGCATACCCTAGTAGGACCCAAAGAGGTGAGTGACTGATGTCTAGAGCACACCAAACTTATTAAGGTTTTATCGAGCGTATTATGTAAAAGAAGAAAACGCACCGTTAACCGATTGTATGTTATCAGTATGGCCATTGACCTGGAAAATCTACACCGCCTCTTCGTCGATGTTAAAGCAGACTCCGCACGCACCAAAAGAAGCTAAGCCGCTATGTCTGTATTCGGTATCCCTGCAAAACGTATACGGCTATGTAAGCAACACCAAAAACTACGTCATCATCGGAAAGGACTTCTCCGAGCCCTTTGATACCAAACGAGGTTTCAGGCAAGGTGATTCCTTGTCGTGTGACTTCTTTCATTTTTTTTCAGAAATAAAAGAGCTCCACAGCTGAATAGAGAAAGTACGATCTACAGCTACTGGCATACGCCAATGATATTGACCTTATTGGTCTCAACAACCGCACCGTGATGTCTGCTTTCACCAGAGGAACGAGGACAAGACAAAACATCTCCTGTCGTCAAATAAGCAATCTTTGCAGTGCCGGCTCCAACCTCACTATTGATAGTCATAAGTTTGAAGTTGAAGATAATTTCGTCTATCTTAGAACCAGTATTAACAACACCAACAACAAAGTCAGACGAATAAAGACCAAAACTCTAGAAATCGCACATCATTCCGTCCCTACCATATTGTTTCACGTAAAATTTATTTAAATTTGAGCAACGGCAACTACCGCAGGCAATGAAACGAAGAGCTAAAGAGACGTTGATGCAATTCAGCGAATTAAGAGAATGCGGTTGCGCTGACTATGTGCCGTTATCCAGATAGATTACAGCTTTGAAAGTTTTCGATGCAATATTCGCCGCCGGTGGGAGAAGAGAAGGAGAGAAGGAGAGAAGGAGAGAAGGAAGGCAGTAAGATCAGCTGGCGTCAAACTGCGAATAGAAGGAAGTTAGGGGGCATTGTTTTTAACTCGGCTATAATCCTGTAGGCGGTGTCTACGTCAATAAAGAAGAAGGGAAATAAAGAGCATGGCATTGGAGTGAAGAACGTAGATTTACTAACTAAAAAAATATTTATATGAAAGTGTAGACAATCGTAAGAGATTGGCAATTGGGAATGTGTCTTCGACAAGCCGCTGATAAAAAAAATCATTTTATCGTTCACATAAGCTTTCAGTGTTGACTAAAAGCTTTTGGAAACTTCCAGGGAATACTATGAAGTTTGGGTATACTAAAAAACATCCAATTTCGGCGTCTATATCCTTTTCAATTAACGAAAATTTCAATTTTTAATTTTTAATTTAGTTTTTTTTTATTGAACATATTTTTTTAACGCTTTTAATTTAATTTATATGCATATTTTTTACGTACATATATACTATATACTTTTTACACAACTTTTAATTTTTTTTAATTTTTCTTTTGCTTTTTGAGCTACAAATGTGTCAACTATTTTTTCGCTTTTTCTTTAATTATTTTCAAAACTTAAAAACTACAATGAAAACAAAAAATATGTATATATATATATATTTAATAACTACAGAGTTGAACGTTTAGCTTAAATGTAGGTTTGTAGCTGCCTAACAGTTGAAAAAAACTACTTTTTTATATAATAAAAATATAAAAAAATAAAAAAAATGAAAATAATAATAAATAAAAATAAAAGTAAAAAATTAAACATTTTAATTAATTTACTTAAACACTATGTAGCAGACAAAAACAAAATGTTGCTATAATACAATTGCAGGTAAAAGTGAGTTTTGGAGCGAATGGATTTGCCGCGAGCTCTCGTTTTACATTGAAGATGAGTAAAAATAAAAATAAACATGCCATCCTGTGCATAATACTTTTACATAAATTAATTGAATTTTTTTACTTAACTAGTTACAATAAATACAATAATTTACATATAATTACAAGTAATAAGAGCAGTTAATGCTACTGCTGCTATTCGTGAAAGCGGTGTGTGTAGGCGTGTACGATTACATATGTAGTTGTAGTAGAAGTTTAATACATATAATAGTTGAATATTGAAGCTAAGGGAAAATATTTAGGTATTATTTACAATAGTTGTAGGATTTTTCTCTCCATAATTGTGCTACTTTCAAAATATTTAATTATATTTTTTATTACTTTTTAATAGTTTTCTTTTTTTTATTTTGCCATACATACTTACGTATATATATTTATATCACATAACAAATTTTTACTTTGCTTTTAAGAATATATATTTATATTTTCTCATAAACTCTACCGACGGCTGGCGGCCGTAAACTCAGTTGTTTCTTCTCTATCCTACCCTAATTATTGCACGCGTCGTCAAATTTAGATTACCCGCAGCTGAGAGGCAACGAATATATATATTTATTTCTGCTCGTTGCTTATTCCCCACCCACAAGCAGCTTTAGCGCCACCCGTTCACTTATGGGATCTGCCCATTCATACGCATTTCAAGCTCCTCCTCCTCTTTCGTCAACGGCACCGTCGTATGATTGTAGAGTCCTTGGGCCATTAATTGGAGAGCGAGTGGATTTTTGGAACCTGAAGATTTCTTTATTTTTGCGCGTTTATTTTGGAACCAAATTTTGATTTGCGCCTCATTTAAACCCAATTCAGCGCTCAGCTGTTGACGACGACGTTCGGTAAGATAACGATTCTCATTGAATTCGCGCTGCAATGGAAATAAAAGAAAGAGGAGAAAATAATAATTAATAAAATGTGTCGTGTAATGCACAAAAAGAACAAAGAATATGAAAATAATAAAAAAATTTATGCAGAAAATTTTCGAAATACCTAAAAAACAACAATAAAAAAATAGTCTAGCAAGGCAAATCAATTATTTGCGGTTAAATGCCATTCAGACTCCGAGGGAAAAGCGAGTAGGGAAAGAAATAAGGTGCATATACATATATACGAGAAATCTATGAGCCGCCTTAGGAGTGAAAATAATATATTGACCATAGCAAATTGGCAGTACACAGAGTGGAGACAACAGGACAACGGACACAGTTAAGCAGTTAAAGGCGAGCAATGAGCGAGCAAAAGTGATATGTGTACCTTTCCATGTACATGCGTATGTATGTATGTATGTACATAAAGGCATTTGAATACCTCATCTCAGCTTAACTGATTCTGATTCTTTAACATATGTGTTTATTTGTTGTGGTTGCTGCATGCTCAGCACGTAAACTTCTTCTTCTTCAATGTACGAGTATACACAGCGTCGTCGTGCACAGTGTGCCGAAGGCGTGTTTAATTGGCTTGACAGATAAGCCTAACTACTTACAGCTCAAAATATTTACAGTGCGCACATAGACCAGTTTTCAAACAATTTTTAATTTTCTGTATTTTCTTCTTTATTTTTTTTTTTTTTATTTATATCTTTTTATTTTACTTCTTTCCTAGCTCCACGGGTGATGGACAAGCGTGCGTGAGTAGTGTAAATATTTTGTAAATATGACCAGCAATTTACATAAGGAAGTAGTAAATTAGGCATGCTCAATGGAAATTTTTACCAAAATTTATATTTTTTAAGTGCTTCTGAGCCTTGTAGGATAAAATTTCAGATTTTAGAAGGCGAAACGATGAAGTGGTAATATCGGTAAGTACTTTTGTTTCGAATTTTTAGATTTTATAAAAATAATGTAAATCACAATACTTTATTTTATTTCTTTCTCTTTTACTTTAATTCTACTTCGTTTTATTTAAAGTTATTGTATTCTACTTCATTTTTAATTTTGGTCTATTTTTTATATTGTATTTCATTTTTTTTTAAATCTTATTCTGCATTGTTTTGTTCCAAATTTTTGCAATAAAATTTATTCTAGTTTATTTTATTTTGTTTTATTTTAGTTAGTTTTGTATTAGGTTACATTATTTTTTTAAATTTATTAATTTAATTTTATTTTATTTGGTTCCATTTGATTTTATTTCACTTCGTTTAATTTTAATTTTTTTTTTTTAAATTATTTTATTTTTTTATTTTATTTGATAAAGTATTTTATTTATTAATTATTTTTTTTTTGTTTATTTTACATTTTATTATTTTATTTGATTTAGTATTTTATTTATTTAATTTTTTATTATTTTATTTTATTTTATTTTAAATTTTTCTAATTTATTCTATTTTATTTTATATAGTTTATTTTTACTTTATTATTTGTTAAATATTTTATTTTAGTGTTTTTGTATTATATTTTGTAGTATCCTATTTTATTTTAATTTATATTTTATTATTTTATTTTATTTATTTTATTTAGTTTTTTTTTGTTTATATTTTTAAATTATTTTATTTTATTTTATATAAATCTGTTTGATTTTAGTTAATATAAGTTTATATTATTTTATATTTTTTTTTTTTAATTATTTTATTTGATTTTATATGAAACTATTTTATTTTAGTTATTATTAGTTTACATTATTTTAGTTTTTTTTTATATTATTATTTTTTGTTTATTTTATTTTAATTTATGTTATTTTAAATTATTTTAGTTCGTTTTTATTTCTTTTTATTTTATTTCATTTTATTTTATTTCATTTTCTTTCATTTAATTTTTTTGTTAACCTATAAATTATATTAAATATTATCTATTCTAACTATTTTTATTTTAAAGTTTTTTTTAGTCAATATTTACCTTCAAACGCGCCAACTGTTCGCTGGAGAAGGCGGTACGCGGCCGTTTTTCGTCAGTAGTTTTGTCCTTCGGTTGCTTGGGGCGACGATAACGTGGGCCTGCAATGCAAAAAAGAGCAAATTATTAAAGAGACATGCAAATTAACATATTACACGAGAAGTAATGTATTAAGTAAGAAATTAAAATATTTTTCTCTGGAATTCCATAAATAACTATATAACACTAAGCAAAACATTCCGACATACTCGTACATACGAGTACTTGTACTTGCATATGTATATTTCGAACTCTTGGCTTAGTAGGTGTTTGTGTGCATGTAAGTAGAATATGCATTGCGTGGCACATGTCAATATGTCAACTGTCAGGCGTTGACAGACAGTCGGTTGCATGCAACAACGTGTAGGCGGCAAGTTTACACAGAACAATTAATCCATAGGAATATAACAACCACAAGGAATGAAAATAAAAAGGCTAATTTAAGAAGGTTGCAATATATTTTTCTTAAACATACATATAAATATTTTAGAAACTGATATTGAGGTTTAATTTATTAAAAAAAAATCTTTTGTCTTACTTAAATTAAACTTTCTGTGCAACCTAAACACAATTTGCATAATTGTTAATTCTTTAATGGGGCTTGTATCGGCTAATTTTATAGTTACTTATATATACGAGTATTGTATGAGATAAGTACATATGTATAAGTAAATATTTAATTAAGTATATTGGCAAACAAGCTTCTGTGGCCAAGACAGGGCTGTTTTGCTTATTTAGTTAGCCATAAAATATTTGCAGAATTTCGTTTCTCCTCCTGTCGGCCTGTCGCGGCAGCCGCAATGTAATTTGTCAGCTGTCAGTGCGACTAGAGAGACTGAACTGCTTTACATACATATTTCAATTTTAATTAATATTTTTGCTTCTATATTTCTCTGTGTTATTAGTCAAACCTCGCCATGCGCCATTTTTGCCCTGCCTAGGCCACTCATTTGCCTTTAATAATATTGCTAATTATATTATTTTCTTTTTTTAATATCACAACTAGTTTATTCGAGGCAAATTTAAAGGAGCAGTGTAATAAAGTGGAAAGAAAACTATTTGTCACATTTCGCTTGCATAGTTAATTAAAGCATTACAACAACTAAAGGCTTGAAAAAAAATGAAATTAAGTATGCTTAGTAAATGGAAACAAAAAAAAATTAAAAAAAAAAACAATTCATTAAATATTTCACAGCAGCAGAGTTTTTAAAGGCATTTAAGGCATTTAATAGTATAATAAAAAGCATTTAATAATAAATGTAAACGTGTAAAATTGGAGTTCTGCTTGCTGCAAAATATTTTATTATAGGTTTAAGTGCATCAGAAGTTGAATGACTGAAAAAGTTAATAATTTAAATTATTTTATGTTTATTTTAATTTAAAAATTTAATTATGCTCTTACCGAAAATTTAATTTTTTTAACTAGTTTGAGGGTTTATTTCATTTAAAAAACCTTATGGACTTGTTTTCAATTGAATAGCCAAGAACCTAATTTTTTTATTCGCAATAGAAATTATTTTATATTAGGTAATTTTTTAAGATTTGAGAAAACATATTTCTAAGTTTCCACGAAATTATTTTCTTTATATTATATATGTATGTATTGAAGAATATAACTCGCAATATTAAAAAGAAATTGTTTGGATTAAACGCAAGAAAACTTCTTAATAAAAGAATTTAGAAATTAATAAAAATTGAGAGTATTGACTTCTTGCAAAGAATACTCATAAATTATATTACTAATGTAATTAAAAAATTATGATCTCAAAGATCAAACAGATAAAACAGTGCATTCCTTTGCCACATGTGCACATATACTTACATATGTATGCAAGATAAATTTATATAATATTTATGAATGAGCGTCTGGTAATACCAGACATACTCTTCAAAAAAAGAAAAAGAATAAGTCAAGTCTGCACCTACAAAAATCCATATAAATACTTTTTATAAAATTTATTAATCATACCTACTAACTATAGAAATCTTATTCATGCATAACAGCCGTGTTAAGGTCACTTTCCATTTGCAACGCAACCTCAAAAATTTATATATGTTTGGTAAGAAACATAAATAATCCATTCAAGTAACTTCATATCAAAAACTTTTGCTTTCTTCACACATCAACACACATGCACACACACACAACTGCATACCAATTATAATACAAGATACTCGTACTTCTTGCTTGGTGCTATATACGGTTGTTAATTGACGAGTTAAGTGCATTTTTATGGTTTTGAATTGATTTTTAATTTGCTGATGATTGAAATATGAGCAGTGAGCGAGCGATAAATTGTTAGCTCTTTAAAAAATGAAGAAGTGGGAGAAAAATATAAAAAAAAAATTAAATTCAAGATTAAATAGAAGATGAAATAGAAGAGAAACATGTACCGTTATATATAAATATGAAAATTTAGATCTCTTAAAAAAATTTGAATAGAATGAGTATCTACCTATTTACTTATAAGAGACTTTGGTAGAAGTTAAACATTTTTTTTATTTTTTTTTTTTTTTTTTTTTAGTTTCAAAATAATTTCGCAATTAAATGCACAGAATTAATTTGCCAATTCGCTGCGATTTTTGCAATTGAAATTAAACTGCAAATAACAACTACGGACTCCATCTCATTTTAGTTGGTATACCTAGTCACATTCCCCTCCTTACGGGAACTCCCTTCATACCATTCGCTCATTCGCTCATCGCACCAACAATCAAACACTAAACGTCAAATAAGTGTTTGGGGAAAACAACAACAAATAAACGAAGTATACAAGTATGAATATAGTATGGTGGGAATGAAAGACAAGTAACAAAAGCACAAAGTAAATATGAAAGGTGAATAAAGTTGGTTGTAGACTTGAGTTTGTTGCTTTTAAGCTGTAGCTTCTAGATTGGGCTTTGCTGGCTGTGCGAAATACGAAGCTAACGGTTTTTTGCTGTTGCTACAGGCGAGAACGCGTTAAAGTAAGATTGAGTGTAGCTGTTAGTTAGTCACTCTTGGCAACATTCAAGAAATTATTTGTTTTTAATCTTCGTCTAAACTAATCATGCAACTGTTAATTGAGAGTCTGAAGGTGTTAATTGCAGTTGTTTGCTAAAGCTCTTTGTTTTTACTTTTATTTGATTTGTTTTTCGAGGTAACGACATATTTAAATATTTATTTTGATATGTTTGTACATAGGTACATGCATAGGCACAGAGATTAAAATATAAAATAAATAAATAAATTTAAAAAAAAATTGTTTGCAGCTTTCTAATGTTCAAAAGATTATTTGTTATAAATATTTATAAAATAGATAAAAAAAAAACTATTTCAATGAAAATAAGAATCAGAGGAATATTGTTTACTTAAAATTAACGTTTAAATTCAAAAATTAGTCAAGAATTTATTTCGATTTTGAAAATGATAGTAGAAATTTTGAAAGAAAATAAAAAAATCTCAAGGAAATAGTTTAACTGTGAATTCATAATTTTTACTCATATTTGTTAATTTTTTTTTGTAAAACAAAGAAAATAAGTTTAATTTTAAATAATGGAAAAAATTATATATGTTCGAGTTTCAAATTTTTATTTAATTAGTTTTGTAATGCAAAAATCGTTTAATTATATTAACAACTTAAAATATATTTATTTTAATTATAACTCAGAAAAACTCGAGAAATATAAATATTCATAAAACAAAATAAAGAAATGAGAACAATTTAAAAGACCTTTTAATTTTAAAAACGATGTTAGAATACAAAAATACTTATTATTAAGTAACAAATAATTAATTTTTTATTAAAATGCTGAAAAGTAATCAAAACTATTTAAAGAAAATTTTAATTATTTTATTTTATTAACTTAAGATTTATTAAAATTAATCATTTTAATTGGGAAGACATCAAATGAAAACAAAAAAAAATTATAATAAATTAATCAATGAAATGAACAAAGGAAAAAAAATAAATGTAAAAAGCGGACCTTTCGGGAAATATTGTATATTCAGTTTGTCTAATTTATTATAAAATTTATTTTATTTAATTTCGTTATAAAAATTAATAAAAGTAATGAAAACCCATATAGTAATTGAAAAACGGCATGAGCTGTTCTTGAAACAATTTAATTTTTTAATTTGAAAATAAACAATTACAAATCGGCACACTAAATAATCCTAAATATGGGCAATTTAAGGCATTCTGATTCAAAATATTAGGAAAAAATATAAACTGGAAATTGAATTTAGCTTGAATTATAAGAAAATTTGCGAAAAAAAAATGAAAAAAAAATCCTTAAAAATATGTGTCAACTTATTTTTTTTATAATACACAAATTAAAATGGTGTTGCACATAGTCATAGTATGCATGTACATACATACGTACAGATTACAAAAAATTCAAAATTTTCCTGCCCATCGCTTTCATTGTCACATAAAATTGTCACATAACGGTTGAATAACAAAGATCCCTACGAGCACATACATCCATCGAATAACAAAGATCCCTACGAGCATATACATCCATCGATCGATATGCACACACTAACAAACAGATCGGCAATGTAAACATTGATACTGCACTCAGCATGGGGCGCACTTTGTAATCGAAGGATATGCCGACAGCCGCCACGATGTGTGAGTCCTTTGGCGGCCTTCGAAATTTTTCGTTTTTTTTTTTCATACTGACAATAACTTTATGGCTGATTTGGCCTTGTATTGCATAGGCATAATTATATACATATATACATATGTATATGAAACTGTTATGTTGTAGATTTAGATAATTTTTGTCAGAGTGATAAAAAAATACACACGTACATATACGTGTATACATAGCAGGAAGTTATTTTGAAAATTTTCGAATTGCTGACCTTGCCGTGAATCTTAAGAGAAAGTAGCCATTAATATTCCTGAATAGCAAAGGATATTTTTTTGTTAAGCAAAAATTCTGCTCTTATAGAATTTCTTTAAAAAAATGTCTAAAAGCTCAAACTCACCCGAACTCGGTCGATCACTGTAACGTGTGCAATACACCCACGCCGGCCATACCTCATTCTTGCCACCATCCGTTGTCGTAGAACCCGCTTCGGAGCGCGTATCATCCGATGACTCCATTCCCGAGTCACGGCTAACCGCCGATGGTGGCGGTATGGGCTGTGGACTACTACTTTTGCTCGGCATGTTTCTGCTCGTGGGCGATGAATTAAGCGAACTACCCGCCGACGCAGACGTCGAGGTTGAGGAGGATGCGCTGGATGCATTGGAAGCAGGTGGTGGACTCGCTAAGCTGGACGCGCTTGCCGCTGATGAGGTGCTCGAACACGCTGGCGCAGACACAGTTTGACCAATTTGTGAGACCGCTTTGCAGAGTGAGCCTAAAGCGGATTTTTCCATAGCGCCCATACTGCCGACGGCAGTGGGTGACAATGCAGCTGTTCCCGCCGACTCGCTGCATTTCATAGCAGCTGGCGGTAGAACGCCACTACGTCGCATACGACTATTAACAATCTCTTCGTGGATGTGTGGATAAGCGGCAGGATTAAAACAGTTCAAAAAGTTAGCACGCTCCAACATCATAGCGGCAGTGGCGGCGGCGGCTGCCGCCTGTTGTTGCCTACTCAGTTCGAGCAGGTCAACACGCGTAAAGGCGGATGGTGTGGCCGAACGCGCTGCATCGAAAGGGCGAAATATGTTGTTCGCATGTAAATGTGTTTGTTTAGTCGTTGTTTGCTGCGCTGAGTTGTCACCGGCACTACGGTTACCCACTTCATTGCCACCGAAGCGATCGCTAAGTATATTGGAGATCGAAAAGGCGAGTGATGGCTTAGCGGATTGTTGATGTGCGGGTGGTGGTGAACGATGTGAGCTACTGTTTGGTGCAGCATCATCTACATCGTCTACATCGATGTCATCATCTTCATCTTCATCCTCATCTTCCGCGTCATCATCCTCCGTTGTGTGTCCACGCATTTGTGAGCTGCCATTGTGCGCGTCACCATTAAAACTATCACCCATAATCGAATCATTCTCCTCTTCCTTGATGGTCATTGTCGAGGCGGGTGTAGATGACGGTGTTGAGGTAGCGCCTGGCGAGGCGGCCAAGCGCTGTTGTAATGTGGCGGCATGATTAGCCGCCGCCAAAGCTGTGGCTGTTGCTGCATCAAAACCAGGATGTTGATGGAAGGCGGCGGCATTTACTAAGTGCTGTTGGTGTAGTTGTTGTAATTGTTGCAAATGATGTAAATGTTGCAATTGTTGATGCTGGTGATATAGTGTCGCGGCGGCTGCTGCATTGCTGGCGGCAGACGCACTAACAGGATGTGGCAACATAGTGGGCGAAATTGTGGCGGCAGCTACGTGTGGTGGTGGTGGCGGTGGCGGATGTGGATGCAGGCTCATGTCTAACACAGTAGTGACGGCGGTTGGGTTGTATTGCAATTGATGAGCGTATTGTTGTTGTTGCTGTTGCTGTTGGTTAAGGCGATGCTGGTGTGGCGATTGCGGTAGGCCAGGCGGACTTGGAGCAGATTGCGGACTGCAGCGATCCTCTAGGGCCATTGGTAGTGCCGTGGCAATTTTATATACGAACGCGTTAAGGACACACGTTGAGTATACACGTAACACGTAACGCACAAACTAATCAATAACCTGGCACTTTCAAAAAATCAATTTCAAAATTGTCACACTGTCATAAAAGTAATTTTTGAACTTCACAAAATTTATTTTTTAAATTAAATTAATTTTTTCTGCTGGTAAGTTTTTTTTATATCTTTATTTTTTTTTCAATTGAAACACTTGTCACTTGAATTTATTAGCGCGCTTCTATCGCATAATTCTGGGGCGTTCACGTTTTCGATGAAGTTCAATTTGCTTCTTAGTCAAAAACACTTGTTCCTTGGGCTAAGTAGAAAGCACGTTTATTCTTTTTTATTTTTTTGTAACTTGTGTAACTTCTTCTTCTTCTATTTGTAACACACGACTGCGACGCACACGTCTGTTCACTGCGAACGCAACGAGTAAATTAACTAATCACAGTTGCTTATCGTCCCAGTGAAGCGACAACTCCAGCTAACGATGACGACTTCAACAACGCTGAGCGACAATCATAGTCAGTCACACAGATTGAACTGTTAAGCCTGTCAAACTGGCTGCCAAGTAGACAGCTAAACAGCTAAGCAGCAAACAGGCGGCCGGCCACCAAGCAGCCCAGTTTCCTGCACTCTCACTCACACACGACGCGAGCGAGCACGTACGCAATGAGTATCTACAGTAACAGGGCTCTAAATGCTGTGGGAGCGAGCGAATACACCAAATTGCCTTGTTGGCCGGAGTACAATTGGAGGCTGAGTTGTGGTGGTGGTTGGTTGCATGCGCACGCTTATAGCACTGTGTGTGTTTGTATGCCTGTGTGTTTGTTTATATTCCTCTGTTTGCTGAACGAAGGCGGTTGATTTGATAGACAGGCTGAACGGACTGATTGGCTTCTCTATACTCAAATTCTCTTTTGTGGTTTTGATGTTTTCGTTGATGTCGATTTTTTTTTTTTTGCTAAAATATTACAGTTTATGTATGTATATATACATATATTTAACTGCTGACGATTGCACGTTGATCGATTATGCTTTTGGACTGCTTTGACAGTACTGCTCTGGTGTAAGCTTCCGCAACGACTGATATGCTGATGAGTAGCTGATGGTACGCAGATTGACTTGCTAGAGCGTTCTGCTGGCTATGGTGGGTATGACAGGTTCGAGGGTGTCAATGATATGATCTTACTTGAGTTGTGTTATGCCGGTTGTTTGAAGGGCGAGCTAGCCGGCAAACTGAGCGTGATTATGAATAGAAATATATACCCAGATACATACATATATGTACATAAAGATATTTAAGTACATATATGGCTTAAAAGCCAAATGTAGAGTAAATGTAAAACATTATGATGCTGGTGAGTATTTAAAAGTTGTAAGATTTTTTGCCATTTAAAATGTAAATTATATGTATGTAAATTTTAAATAAAATTTAAAAAATAAAAAATTTTATATATAAATTAAAGCCAATTTTTTTATTAAATATGTTTTGAAAAATTATGTTATTTTCTAGAATAATATATAAAACCAGGCGTATTGTTTTTGTTATCCAAAAATAAAAAATAAATCACTCAATATGTGCTAATGTTTGTTTAATGAGTAAATAAAATATTTAATTTATTTTTGAGTTTTTTTTTATTGTTAAAAAAAATCTGTTTATACATATTTTCTAAAAAAAAAAAAAAAACGTTTCTAAAAAATTTTAATAAGAAATCAAAACGACGTATCGTTTTACATATTGATGAAATTTTAAAAATATAATTAAGGAAAATAGAAATTAGAATTTTATAAAATAATAAAAACAATAAAATATTCGAATCATAATTTATATACATTATTATTTTTTTTTTTAGGTAAGAGGTGATTAAAATCGACATTTATTGATATTATAAAATTTAGTTAGTATTAAACAGTTATGAGAATATGTTCAGACATAATACTTCGTAAATTATTAGGAAAAACTTTGTACAAAAAAACTTGAAAATTGAAAATACTCTCTAAAAACGTAAATACAAATATTTCCTGTTAAATTTATTCGCTTATGTTATTTATTTTATTAATTAAAAATGCAACCAAATGCGATATTAAATAAAGAAATTACTACAGAACAATTTTTGATCAAAATATTGACACCGTAAAAAGAGGAATAGAAGTTTCTTGGCCGAATTTTAGAAAAGTAAGTCTTTTAAATACTCACAAGTATTGTTTCACTTCTTATTATAGTTATGCACATATAAATTTTTGGTTTTTACTTCCTTATTATTTATTAAATGCTTATATTTTTTTAAGTTAGAAGATGTCTACATACATATGCTGATTTTCAAGGAACTGTTCAAATTTACATTTAATATTTGGGACACATATATTCAGTTTTGAGTATAATTTAACTAAAATATGGAGAAGAGTATATATATTAAATATATATTCCCTGAAGCAAAAAACTGCAATCAAAAAAAAAGCACACATACATACATGTTCATATATATAATATGCATTTTTTATCCGCTATTCTTATCCTAATTCAATTATGCGAACGTGTTTTACGTTTTTTAATTATTACATAGCATTTATGTCTATATCACGTCGCTGCTCTCTTCGACTGCCTACTTCCTTTGTACGTACGCACATACATACATATAAGTGCTGCACACGGCCAAAGCTTGTTACCGTCCGATATGACTCTATTATGGCAAGCTGTCAAACGCGCTTTTGACAACTGTGTCGTGTCTGCCATCGCAAAAAAAAAAAGATGTAGAAACACGGCGAACTGTGGACGGCTTCAGCGCACAGCAAAAGAGTAAATAGATATGTAAGAATGCGTTTTATGCACACATTCTCTACTTCTTTCTAGCAAATGAATTTTCGGCTTATTCAACAGGCTACTCTTTTTAACGCTCTACCTCCTTGAGTGTACATATATAAGTGTATGTGTGTACTTCCGCCATCTCTTATATACAACAACATTGAAAGGGGCGTAGTCATGTGACTTTTGCTATCTCTTTTTCACACCAACATTATATAGTTCATTTTTTCTGAATTCAATATATTTCTTTTTACCTCACTCCAATTTATTTAACCGTTTCTCTCACACACAATTCAATTAACTGCTGAGCGCTCTATTCAATTTGACGACTCTCTTTCTCTCTATGAAATCAAGGAAATTAATTTATTTTGTTGTTGCAATTTTATTGGAAATTTACAATGTTCAGTTGTAAGAGGCTTAGCTGAAATTTCTGAAGAAAATTTCTATTTTTATTGTCAAACGAATTTCTGTCTCTATTCCAGTTACTCTCACGTGCTCTCAAATACGCTCAATTTACTTTCTACTCTTTGTGCTTGTTGTTTTCTTAATATTTTCATATCAAGCATAAACACCTGGGCTTCTACAGCTTCCACTATTGTTGTCCTCTTCGCCTAAATGCCAGCTTCAACAAACTTCTTGCTTCACGCCTCTTTGACTGAAAAAAAGAGCAACAAAAAATCACTTCAGTAACGCACTCAACTAGCCGTAAGTGAAGGCGACGTTGCTGATTAACTTTGGCGTTTGTGTTTCAATTTTCTCTACTAACTAACAAACGCAGCTATGTACTTATGTATGTGTGTATGTATATACGCGATCTGCTATTGCGTTGTGCTGCATTCATTCTACGCTCTCTTTGCTTCATTGTAAATTACTTTATTCGCTATGCTTGTTGTTTTTGTTATTGCTAACACATCGCAATTACATTTGTTACATTCGCTCTTCATACTCGTAGTTGTTGTTACATTTGTATGTATTATATGTTAGCTTTCTTGTTGTACAACTAAATCGCGCCCTGGGGTGGGGTTCCACTATTTTGAACCACCGCACTCTGCGCAGCCCACTGCTGCCATGCTCGGCTCTTCATTAAATCAGCTTTTACATTTTTGCTTTTGCTTTTGCCTTTGCTTTGGCTTTGGTTTCGCCTGTCAACACGAGCATCGATGCTTGCGCTTCATGTCCGCGCTTGCCGTTTGCTGATTTCCTCCTGAGGCAATATTTTGTATAGCAATCTTTTTTCAGTATTATTGTTGCTATTTGTGATATGTTTCACATGTACTACTAGCTACACACATACATAGGTATGTTTGTATATTACTATTATTGTTGTTGTTGTTATTTGAATTGTTTTTGACATGCGTTGATTTGGTACGTTGGCGGTTATGTATCAATTTTATGGCAACATTTTAAGTAGAGTTATCACGTGGCAAGCAGTGTATGCGATGAGAAATATCAGAAAATTAGTGAAGGATAAAACTTGGAATTGTAATTGAAATAAAATATATAAAAAATAGTAGATTCTGAGATTAATTTTGCCTTCGATGTAACTATATGAACTTCGGCAATAAACAAATTTTTGATATATAAGAAAAATAGAGAAAGATAGAGATGGAAATGAAACTCAAGAACAGAAATTTTTAAAATAGCAGAATATGTGATTGGGCTCACCTTCTATGTATGTGAATCAATGACGATTGTATATCTAAGTAAATTGGCCACTCAGAGAGAGAGCCCAAAAACTGTACCTCCGTATTTTAAATGAAGTTTAAGCCAAGGAAAAATATAACTAAAAATGATTTTTTTTTGCAAAAATAGTGATGCGGACGGATTGTTAACACAACCATATTTGTCCGTATCTTGAATATTGCCTATTCGAATGCACTGGGAAAAAAATTTGGTGGGTTTCAACGAGTGTGGGAAAGCACCAAATTTTGTAGCCCTTGAATCGGGAATTTAATATCAATCACCAACAGATTCAGAAGTAAGCACATCAGAATAATTAATGTTTTTTGGAGAACACACCAAGAACATTAAGAGAAAATATGTGAAGAGGAAAGGAAAATTGGTATACAGTAGACCATCTACAATAAGAGATATTTTTTTATTTAAAACTTTTTTTTTAGGAATTTTATGTAAAATAACGAAGTTTTGAAAAACGCCTGAAAGTTCTTCGGCTTATGTGCTATTAATGGGGTGAGTTTTAAAAATAAAACTGATAAAATACTATTATTAAAACCATTGATCGAAGCTAATCGTTATTTTTGAGAAAATTTGGAGTAAATAAAATTAATTAAAAATTATATTTGATTTTTCAATTTTTTCAAAA